GACGAAACATTGTGGAATCTGTTGAAGAACTGATTAAGTTCATTGGCACACCCACCATCTCCTTCCATCCCCTGGCAGCTGGACTTAAAGCCGGTTATGGTCCACATGCCCCTCCACACGTCTCTGGTGTTATTCTTCTGCAGCTTTAGCTCCAGCTTTCTCCTGTAACTGTCTCTTCCTTCTTTTAGCTTCACATACAGTCTCTGTGCCTCTTTGGCTGCTTCCCTGTCACCCGACCTGAAAGCCTCCTCCTTCTCATTCAGGAGGGCTTTGATATCTTTGGTGACCTTTGTCTTGTTGTTGGGGAAGCAGCGTATAGATTTTAGTGTTACAGTGATATCAACACAGAAGTCGATATAATCCATGATGTCAGTGAGGCTCCTCTCCATGCGGCTCACACAGAGACTCCCAGTCTGTAGTCTCCAAAAAATCCTGCAGGGCTGCACTGGTCTCCTTTGTCCACTCTCTCACTGTCCTAACCGTGGCTGGCCGCCTCTTCACTAGTGGTAGATATGTGGTTAGTAGATACACCAGGTTGTGATTGGATCTACCCAGGGGGGGAAAGACTGTACAGTATATGCCTCTTTAACATTCGCGTACAGCAAGTCCAGTGTCTTGTTTTCCCTGGTTAAACAGTCCACAAACTTTGTGAAGGTGCTGAGTGTCCTGTTCAGAGAGACATGATTGAAGTCACCTGAGATGAGGATGAAAGCATCCGGGTGCCTTGTCTGAAGTCTGGTACGGCACAGTCTGTTGCAGAGTGGATCATGTAGGCCACTAGACATCTACATCTGCTGGTATGAGCAGAGATACGTAGTTTAACTGAGTTAAATATTAAGGTTGAAATAGATCTGCCACCCATCCTGTATTTCACCAGATTGTCCAGTATTTTATATAAAAATAAAATTTTGTGTCTCATCTGGAACAAATATGGGATGCAATTTGTCCCGTGTTCGTGATTTGACCCTCCTCCCCAGCATACTTTGTACTTTATCTTGAAGGAAGATAATCTGAATCTTCTTCAGATTCGAAGTATGGGGCTCCAAGTGTCAAGTGCTAATTTTTGTGCACAAAATGCATGATAGACTCAAAGTTGGCCCCTCCACCTCAGCTCGATGAACAGGAAAAATGTTTATGTGATTTGCACTAAATTCTGTTTGGCACAAAATAGGTACAGGTATGTAATGATGAATCACGAATCGGTTAAAAATGTATGACGATTTAAACCGGCTGATGTCGAAAATGAATCACTATTTTAGGAGTAGTTCACAGTACTTTAACAGATAAACTGGTGTACTGCCCGGGGTTGGTTCCCGTCTGCACCGATTGTTCCTGTGATAGGCTCTAGTCCCTCCCGCGACCCCAGTTTGGATTAAGCGGGTTCAGAAAATGGATGGATGTGGCAGCATTTTAGTTTTCACAAACGAAAATTGTGAGAAAATCACAGACAAGACAAATACTGTGTGCAAACATTGTAAAAGACTCATAACATAATCAAATAGCACAATGAACATGCTTCAGCATGTCCACCGGCACCAAAGTGAGTTGAGCGAAGATTATTAAAAGGGCAAATTACATTCAATCGTGTATCGTATTGAATTGCGAGTTGAGTGCATCATTACATCCGTAGCACAAACGTTATATTAAACATTATACTTGTTTTTTTTATATTGTATCAATAAAACGTGCTCTAATATTAAGTGTTGCATGAATTGCATTCAGGGCAAGGTAACTTTATTTACATTGCACATTTCATACAGATGGTAAATTCAAAGTAATATATATGGTGTCAGCATATGTAATGTTTACAATGCTGATTATTGACATCAGGTCAGGCAGTATGAGTAATTTAGTGCCACTAAGTCTAGTCCACACGTGCAAAATGAAATTATATTAGTGGAATGTCAAAATTGGAATCTGATACAAATCTTACCCTATTATTATCCTAGTGATTATTTTGCAGATAAACCCTTGGCACCTTAAAAAAAGGAATGCCTCATGGAAAGGAACTAAGCCATAAGATTATTCCCATCACTATTTTAGTTCCTACTCTGGAGTAGGGAACTGGGTGGGGCTTATAGCAATAACTGTTGTGGATTGGTTGACCATAAGCACCAGCATTAATTTAGAAGTTACGCAGTGCAGGGGAAAACATGTTTTTGTATCTCAGTTTCATTAAAAGCATTAATGAATAACTTTTTTGCCTTCGTTTCTATATTTCTGCATCAGAAATTTCTATCAATAACTGAAATACTTATGTCTAATATTGCCGGTGCCGGTGGCGAAACTTATTAGTCAAATGACATGATGTAGCGCTAGAGGATACCCATCAGGCAGCGTGGTGGCATGCTGGACTGGTTCCAAATGTAAAAAGTGTAAATGGCTGTGTAGAGTTAACATGCATTGTGTCATATTTGTGTTGTACATGAATGTCATGTGTAGTGTTAAACATTAATTGTTGAAAATATTAGTGTGGGGATGGAAGTGGAGGAGCTCAGCATGGAGATTGTAGATCTGTGAACCCATCACCAAAGGGGCGCAGCAAACCCGAGGAGACCTCCGGAACCTGAGCCGTGGTGCCTTCCCATAGTGACTCGACGGCGCTAGCACCCCCACCTGCCTGAACTCTAGCACCAAGACCAGGAGCAGTGCGACATGAGGATGCAGCCAACTGCAGTGAAGTTGACCCCCCCTAAAGCTGCCCTGGTATGATGGATAAGTGTCCCTGAAACCCTACCTTGCCCAAGGTCAGCTCATGACAAGGCTCAATGGCTGGTCCACTGAAGAGTTAGCAGGGCACCTGATGATTTTGTTGAAAAGGGAGGTGCTGCAAGCCATCCTAAAACTCTCCTGGAGAACAGGGTGACTATGGAGCCCTAATCACTGCGCTGGAGTGGCAGTTCAGTCAGTGACAGTCTGTGAGGAAGATGAGGGAGCAGCTTGGGGACTGGCAGCGGCACACTGGTGAAAGTGGGGGCTTTCCTAGCTGAGGTGGAGGACTGTAAGCAGCTATCCTTACTTCCCGTAGGCAGCACAGGACAAGCTGGCTGGTGGACAGGATTCCTTGCCTAATGGACACAGGGTCCACCATCACCCTGATCCGTCCGTGCATGCTGCCAGGCACTGTTGGAGCCTTCCCAGCTAGCTGGAAAATGACAGACATTCAGCTGACTTCTGTGACAGGCATGCAGACTGCCATGGAGGGGAAAACACAGCTGGGAGTCACACTGGCAGGACACACAGTGGTGCAGGAGGTCTGGCTGGCTGACATCTCCGACCCCTGTATCATTGGCCTAAACTTGCTAGTTTGCCTGGGGACCATTATTGATGTGCCAGGGGCAGCCCTCCACCTCAGTACTGATTTGGTGGTACTCCGGCACCTCTGCAGCAGCTAGTACAAGCAGTAGTGGAGAAGAGGACTTTCCTGGGTGATTTCATCTACGGAGAGGGCGTTGCCACAGTGGCTGTGTGAGAATGGGTCGCTCTGTGGCTTTCCAGCTCGGGGATTCTGATTGGGTTTACTGCTCCATCAGGAAGAAGGCGTAGTCACCTAAACTGGTCAGCCACTGGAAGGTCCCAGGGAGGTCTTGGAGTGTATCTCCGATGTGGTCTACAGGGTGTGGATGCCAGAGTGGTGCAGGATTGTCCTGCTTATGACTTCCAGTCCCTGTCCCACCTGGAGCATCCTTCTCCAGGACCTGTGTTGAGTTACCTGGCAGTTGGGACTGAGGAGGACGATGAGAGATCTGGGGCCCAGCTGCCATGAAGGACTTGGCACTGCCTGGAGCACTACTGGGATATTGTGGGGGTACCAGGAGGTGTAACTCCCCAGGAGGGGGCATTGTACCTTTGGGAAATACTTATTAGACAACCTACAGTGTGTCTAGTGAGTACTTGGGATCAGCATGGTGGGCAGTGTGTGTGTGTTGTCAGAGTGAGCAGCATACGTGAAGTAAAGCCATTTTGTTTTTCCTCACTTTGACTCTGTGTTATTCATTTATTTATTCATTTATCCATTATACGATCAAAATGTCTGGTATGGCACAGTTGTATTTTTTTTGTGGAAAATGAAAGAATGATCTGCTAACCAGATTTAATAATGAATTATAAACGTTGTGAGCCGTATAAATAAAATATAAACAAATGCGATTTCTCATGTATTTTCGGACTCTGTGATCAATACTCCAATAATTAACAAAACCACTTTTTCATTCTCCATTATTGTTTAAGGTGTTGCGGTCTAGTTTTGCGTGAAATTTAACCAATGACATTTTGCATCTCCAATACTTATTTAATATAGAAGTCACAGTTCCTGTTGTGCAGTGAGAAATCAACACACGGAAATGGTCAATAACTACAAAAGTTCTTGGTCAAGATGTCCGATAAATGTTTCATTTATCAAAGTTGTGCACATGCACAAAAAGACACCCAAAATGTGTGTACACATTTTTTTATGCAAAACCCCAGATTTGCCAAAAAAAACTTTTGAAACTGAGGGGACACATGCCTTAATCATACAGTGTATATGAAAAGTGTACACACCCCTGTTCACATGCCATGTTTTGTGACGTAAAAAACACACAATAAATCATTAAAATAATTTCCCAACTGTACAGTTCAATTGAAAAATAAAGAAATCTGTAAGGGAGAAAATACAAAAAAATAAAAACGTACAATAAGCTGACTGCGTAAGTGTGCACACCCGCAAACTAATATTTTGGAACACCAAGATTGTTTTTACTTATTTGTTTACTGTTTGCACTGTACCCAGAGTACCTTAAATCCGATAAGTTATCTAGCTATCCAGCAAATTTTGCTTTGTGATACAGGCTCCAGGACTCCTGTTTCAAAGGATTTACCAAAGATAACAACAGCAGCATTACAGACTAATGAAACAGCAGATGTATAGCAGTAAAAGAAGAGTAAAACACTGTCAGAGACAGGAGAGGAAAGAGAGACACCTGATTGTATGAAGTGCTTATTTATCCTTATATTTGCAGATCATCGAGAGGTCAGACTGGTCCAAGGTGCACACCAGTGCTCTGGGAGAGTAGAGATGAAGCATGGAGTCACCTGGGGCACAGTGTGTGGTGCTGACTTTGACCTGCAGGATGCAGAGGTTGTGTGTCGGCAGCTGGGCTGTGGAATCCCTGTGGAGGTGCTGGGGGGGGCTGTGTTTGGTAAGGGCGGTGACCAAGTGTGGAGAGAGGAGATTCAGTGTAGAGGGAATGAATCTCATATTTCCTTCTGCTCAAAATCACCCTCAAAGGCCAAGAATTGCTCGCATGGTAATGATGTGGGACTGGTGTGTTCAGGTAAGAACAACATGACTGTTTGTCAAGAAACATATGTATGGCTTTTAAATTAGTAAATATAAATTACACAGTAAACAGACCAAGTTCAACATTAATGTTTTAAATACTGTGTTCGAATTTCTTCAAAGAAAATTTCCTTAAATATTAACGCTTTAATCCCCTGTGCTGTTTACAGGGTACACAGAGTCCAGGCTGGTGGGCGGCCCTGACTCCTGCTCCGGGAGGGTGGAGCTGCAGTACCTCAGTGAGTGGGGGACAGTGTGTGATGCATCCTGGGATATGAGAGCAGCCAGTGTCCTCTGTCGGCAGCTGCAGTGTGGGAGCGCTGTGGCAGTGCCAGGACAGGCCTGGTTTGGAGAGGGGAGGGGCCGCATCTGGGCTGATGTGTTTGAGTGCCAGGGGAATGAGACACACCTCTCCCAGTGTGCTGTGTCCTTATGGAGTCGAGCTGCATGCTCTCATGGATGGGATGCATGAGTCATCTGTGAGGGTGAGAACTATACTACAACTGAGACTTTATACAATGGAGTAATAGTAATCTGGTTTTTTTTTATGAATTATGATCCAATATACATTATGATTACAGATCATTCATCGAACTGGTAATACAACTCAGGACAGTCTACTTTTATAGAAATCCATCAGTCTTCTGTGCCATTCATATCCTTGAGTACTGTCAGCTCTTGCAGTTTAAAAAGTTTATACAAGCACATTAATGCCTATATTATAAACATATGGGTGAGTTAATTTACCCAATAGATGGTATTGTTGACATTAGCTACAAACAATCTAAGAGTGTGTATTCACATTAGCAGAATGCAGAATGGCTCAATTAAAGCTGTTCTTCTAATGGGCACATCTGACCAACACTGACAGTGACTGATGTATCCACAGGGTCTAAATCTCTCTCAGCTCTCAATGGGACAGTAAGACTGTCTGGAGAGAGTGGCTGTGAGGGTCAGGTGGAGGTTTACTACCAGCTGACCTGGAGCAGAGTTCTCATGGACTCCTGGAGCTTCAGGGAGACCTCTGTGGTCTGCAGACAGCTGGGCTGTGGCTCTGCAGTGAGGCTCAACAGCTCCTACCTGTCTGGGAAAGAGGACAGTGATGTGTGTCTGACAGGGTATCAGTGCCCTGGGAATGAATCTCACCTGATGAACTGCAGTGATCCACAGTGCGTCAATTGCAGCTCTGGTCCACAGGTGTCCATAGAGTGTTCCAGTGAGTACATACATAACTATGTTCAAAGTATCATTTTAACATAAAGCCAAAACATCTTATATATGAACAGCACCAACATCAGATAGCTAGAAAGAAAGAAAGAAAGAAAGAAA